GGTGTGTTGGGGACACAAGAGACTCTTTGTTATTTGGTTGCAGGGTTTCTTGGGAGAGACCATCTTCATCCTACGCCTCCTACGGATTGATAAACCTTAGGTCATCCACTTGAGGGAAATTTGCTACTGTCCTACAAACCTCCGCACTTGGAGGTCCAACAACGTCTACAAGAAGAAGGTTGTGTAGTAGACATCAGCCGGCAGCTGGAATTTTGGACTCGAAAAGGAGAAAATATTAGAGACCTATTTTGCGCAACTCCAGAAGTCCTGAAACTTCACGGAGAATATTTTTGAAAAATATAAAAAATATTGGGCGAAGAAAGCACCAGAGGGGGCCACCTACCATCCACAAGAATGGAGGGCGCACCCTTCGGTCTTGTTGGCCCCCTGGCAGGCCCCCGACGCTCATCTTCTGCTATATGGTGTCTTTTTCCCTGAAAAAAATAAGAAGGGCTTTCGGGACGAAGCGCCGCCATCTCGAGGCGGAACCTGGGCAAAACCAATTTAGGGCTTCGGCGGAGCTGTTCTACCAGGAAACATCCCTCCGGGAGGGGGGAATCATCACCATCGTCATCACCATTGATCCTCTCGCCGAGAGGGGGTCAATCTCCATCAACATCTTCACCAGCACCATCTGCTCTCAAAACCTAGTTCATCTCTTGTATTCAATCTTCGTCTCAAAACCTCAGATTGGTACATGTGGGTTGCTAGTAGTGTTGATTACTCCTTATAGTCGATGCTAGTTGGTTTATTTGGTGGAAGATCATATGTTCAGATCCTTAATGATAATTAATACTCCTCTGATTATGAACATGAATATGATTTGTGAGTAGTTACGTTGGTTCCTGAGGACACGGGAGAAGTCTTGTTATAAGTAATCATGTGAATTTGGTATCCGTTCGATATTTTCATAGATGTATGTTGTCTTTCCTCTAGTGGTGTTATGTGAACATCGACTACATGACACTTCATCATGATTTGGGCCTAGGGGAAGGCATTGGGAAGTAATAAGTAGATGATGGGTTGCTAGAGTGACAGAAGGTTAAGCCCTAGTTTATGTGTTGCTTCGTAAGGGGCTGATTTGGATCCATATGTTTCATGATATGGTTAGGCTTACCTTAATTCTTCTTTTGTAGTTGTAGATGCTTGCAAGAGGGGTTAATCATAAGTGGGAGGCTTGTCCAAGGAAGGGCAGCACCCAAGGCCGGTCCACCCACATATCAAATTATCAAAGTAACGAACGCGAATCATACGAGCATGATGAAAACTAACTTGACAATAATTCTCATGTGTCCTCGAGAGCGCTTTGCTTTATATAAGAGTTCATTGAGGCTTGTCCTTTGCTACAAAAAGGATTGGGCCACCTTGCTGCAACTTGTTTACTTTTTTTACTTGTTACCCGTTACGAATTATCTTATCCATTACCGATAATTTCAGTGCTTGCAGAGAATACCTTGTTGAAAACCGCCTGTCATTTTCTTCCGCTCCTCGTTGGGTTCGACACTCTTACTTATCGAAAGGACTACGATAGATCCCCTATACTTGTGGGTCATCATCAGTCAAGATATCCAAGCAAACTTGGCCATCCTCTTGCTTCCGAGATTGCCAAGATCCTCTCGGTGTCTGCCACAGTTGGTTCTCTCACTAAGACTCTCGGGTACCAAGGTCCGAACACCTCAACCATGGCATCTCCGCATGTGCTCTCAAACATCTGGAGGTACTCGTTTCACGAATCAACGGTCGTGCCATATGAAAGCATCTGGAGTGCGGTCGTGCACTTCTGGTGACCAGAGAAGCCAATCGTTCCCACGACGTCCTTCTTTAGGATGAAGTAGTCATCATAGGACCGAACGCCATGGTACAAACGATCGAAGACAGTCTTGCGCATCCGAAAACGACGGCGAAAATGGTCAACCAAGAGTGCATCCCCGGCAAAGTAGTCGGCCATCAGTGTCAAATGGTTGCGCGCCCTGTTACGGTTGAGCACTCGATGACCCTTGATCTAGCCCTTGAAATTGAGAACATGTTCCTCCGCACGCTCTGCGTTTTCAATGGCCTCCTGCATCATTGCCGTCTCATTGGAGTACTCTTGTCGGACGACTGAACACACTGCTCATATATGTACTCCAAATCGGAATCCATTGCTAGAAAGAAGAAGAGAAAACTGTTTTTAGCTTTGGTGATTCATCGAACAGTTGTCGAGCATGGTGAGTATAGCAGTCGCGGATGGTACCTGGCGGGACGGTCGGAGGATAGGGGTTGAACGACGACGGAGGAGAAGTGAGGTGGAGCCCCACTGGAGCGCTGGAGGTGACGGAGACGTGGAGTTCCGGCAGGGGTGTGACATGATGGTCGGGGTGGTGGAGCGGCATCGAAGGCAATAGAGAAAGAAGGAATGAGAGAAAATGGGAAGGATGGAAGCGCGGGTCAGGGAAGGGTTTTGGGTGGACCGGGGATGTCGGAGTCCTACGTGTCTGTGCCCAGGCTTGCAAACCTCCCCGTGTTTGTCTCCGGTTTACGGGAGAAAACGCGTCCGAACAACTGGACCGATACATCCCGCATTGGATGGCTTTCGTGGTTCAGACAGTATGGTCCGAACAGACGCGGACGATTTACGGGTGCAGCTCGAAGATGTCCTGATGTGTGCTCAGACACGAACACATGCGTGCGTGCAAAACCTCTCCTCTTCGGACCCAGCCCCAACGGCCACGTCTTCTTCCGTATAAACAAGAGGTAAATACACTAGGAGTCATTGAACTTGCAAGCGACGGTCAGTTTGGTGTATAAACTTGTAAAATACGTGTTTCTGGTCATTGAACTTGCACATATGTTCATATACGGTCACATTTTGCATACGCAGACATATCTATGGCCTACATTTTTTTTGAGACATGTATCCATGGCCTACATGGCATGCCAGGGCTCGTTGTGGGCCACTATCACAAGGTAGATTTACATAAAAGTTTTCATTTATTAAGCTCCTAAAATAAAATGATAAAAAACAAGGAGATGACGGGTTTTGAACAAGTGAACTGCCACCACCAGGATTGTGTGGACAACCACCATACCGGATGATCATTCATGTTTGGAAATCACTACTAGTTTATATATCATTATAAACACATACCGACTTTTAAAAAAAGAAATGCAACCTGAAGAAAGAGCGCAACGTGACTCGACCATGTGATCTCATGCTCAATGTTAACAAAGATTACCACCAGGCTACTATAACAGAAAATGTCCAGAAGAGATAAACATTTTTCATGTTTTTATTCCTTCTTGTTCTATGTAAGAACACAACTTATATTCTTGTGTTTCTGATATTTAAAAATGATTATGTGTTACAAAAAAGGTACATGACATTTAGAAGAATGTAAAATATTGTAAAACATATGTGTGTAAATACGAAAACATAAGTTGCATTTAAACAAATTTCATGCATTTTAGAAAAAAAATCATAACAATTTTAAATATGTACAAAAATATTGGCGTAGTTTACAAAATGTTTTGTATGATCCAAAAATAACATGTATTTTGAAAAAGATTCTGAAACTCGTATTTGATAAAATCTTAATCATATGTTTAAAAAATATTAAACATTTATAAAAATGTTTTAAGATTATACTGGAAAAATAGACACAAAAACATATATTTAAAAATGCTAATCATGTATTTGGAAAATGTTAAACATAATTAAACATTTTTAAACATATGTTCTGACGTGTATGTATTTCCAGTATACAATTAAAAACATTTTTATACACGTTCGATATATTTTTAAACATATTATTAACATTTTCTAAAATACAAGTTTTGAAGCTCTTTCTAAATACTACATATTAAATATTTTTGCATTATACGAAACATTTTTTAGCTATGAGAACATGTTTGTACATTGTATACACATTTTAAAAAATATCATATTCAATTTTTTGAAATGCGTGAACATTCTTAAAATGCAACGTATGTTTTTTAAGTCCATGAATTTTACAATGTTTAAATAATTTTAAAAATGTCACGTATCTTTTTTGTAACATATAAACATTTTTTAAATGTCACAAACACAAGAATATAAAGTTGTTTTCTTACATAGAACAAGAAGGAATAACAACATGAAAAATGTTTATCCCTTCTATACATGTTGTGTTGTTGTAACCTGGTGGTAATCTTAGTCAACGTTGTCCATGAAGTTAGATAGTCGAGACATGGTGTTCTATTTAATTTTCGCTCCGTGTTTACTCCCTCCGTCCGGGTGTATAAGTCATTTGCGTAGTTCTAGGTCATCAATTTAAGGAATTAAATATGTGTTATATGTCATGAAAACTATACCACTAGATTTCCACACGGATGTAGTTTTTAAATATATATTTTTTATCACATATAATACATATTTAGATAGTTAAATTATCGACCTAGAACTACGCGAATGACTTATACACCGGGACGGAGGTAGTATATGATATAGAAGATGTTGATAGTTTCATTCAGGCGTAAATGATCATTCTTCTGGTGGTTGTCCACACGCCCCAATCAGCGGCAGGCCGTGAGTTCGAAACCCCATCGTCCCTTGCTTTTTAATAATTTCATTTTAGGGGCTTATTATTATAATACATAAATAAAAGAATTTAAGAGCTTTTCTGCAAATCTATCATGCGACAGCGGTTGACAGCGGGCCCTGGCCACGCTGGCATGCCACGGATACGTCTATGCACATGAAATGTGACCGTATATGAACATTCGTGCAAGTTTGATGACCAAAAACACGTATTTTGCAAGTTTGTGCATCAAACTGCACGTCGCCTGCAAGTTCTATGACTTTCAATGTATTTACCTCTATAAACAACTGAAAACGAATCACCTCCACGTCAAAGAAGGAAAACGAATCACCTCTCCACGACGCCACCCGCATCGACAACTCAAAACCCGTCGCCTCACTGTCACCGACCCCGGCGATCACCGGCGAACAAGGGATCAGTGTACTTCTCTCTCCAAACGCGAAGATGGATGAAGGGAATGTGGCGCAGCAGCTCAAGCAGATGACGGACTTCATCCGCTTGGAAGCCGTCGAGAAGGCATTCGAGATCGAGGCCGCCGCCGCCGAGGTAACGCTGGTTTCCCCTGATATTGCGCATCTTTTCTAGATGACTGGATAGTTTCGGATCTCGGCTGCGATCGGCGAGATCCGCGTCGCGGAGGGTTGGATCTATTGCATTGTTGCCGGGGTCGCGCATTGGAGCGGACTGGGGCGTGGATCGGACAGTGGCGTCGTCGTAGGAAGTCTGTGTTGGGGCTCCATGGCTTACCGGAGTGCTCGCTGGAGTTGTTTGTCTTGCGTTTAATAGCAAGCTCTGTTACAAAAGGGTGTGCTAAGAGCCTAATAAGATACAATGCAAATTCAGAAAAGTGGAAAGCTAGAACTTCAGATATATGTTCCCGTGAATTACTCTGTTTCCTTCATTGAGCTGTCCGTTCTTCTGGATTATTAGAATATTTTAGTGCTGTCATGATTTGTGTGATGCCTTTTGAAACTTTGAACTGATGAATGATAATTTCTCAGGAATTCCAAATCGAGAAACTACAACTGGTGGAAGCTGAAAAGAAGAAGATCAGGCAAGACTATGAAAAGAAAGAGAAACAAGTTGCTATCAAGAAGAAAATGTAAAAGTTCTCATTCTCGACTGTGCTGTTTATATTATTTTATTTTACAAATTGCACACTGGCGAATACTTGCTCCTCATAAGTTATTGATATAGAACTTTTCACCTTTTTGGCACATGACCTGCTCATGTGGATATAAAGAAATCAGAACAGAAGAATAACTCTCTGAAGTTGATCGTGTGTTACCTTATGCAGCGAATACTCAATGCAGCTCAATGCTTCCCGAATTGAAGTTCTTCAAGCTCAAGATGATTTAGTAAAGTCCATGATGGATTCAGCACGGAAAGAGCTACTGTACCAAAGCCGAGACCATCAATCTTACAAGAAACTTCTCAGGATACTTATTGTTCAGGTCAGCAGAATGGAATTTGCATCCTTTTCTGTAACCTGAATATGAAGCATGAATTTTGTTGCAGCTATTGCAAGTAGTAGCTCATATGAACCAACACACATCTCCATATGGGTTGTGAATGCATCCCTTGCTAGGCATGTACAAATGTCTGCCCTCAAGATGAGACACACGGAATTTCAGTAACTAACCGGTTCCCTTAGTGCCGCATCTACCATTTTCAAAGCCATTCCCTGGTCACCCTGGGGTGGTAGTGAATTTGAGTCGATTGTTCTTGAATTTAGTCAGCCAAAATCGCAGCACTTGATGTGAAACTTTTTTATCAAAAAAAAAAAAAGTGTTCTCCATCTCCCTGAAGAGTAACATTTCTACTTGTTAGAATGGATTTCTAATCGTAATACTCTATTGTGTTTTCAACTTTTTGTATGTGCTAGTTTTCAAATTTTATATATGTTCTTTGATTTTACGAACTTTAGAACATAAGTAGGCAATAGTTGCATGCAAAGTAGTTGCTGTTGAAATGGAATCATTAGACTTATCTATCCCTAAGTAGAGTGACTTAGACCTGCCTTTCTTTTAATAGCCTCTATTTCCATGATTCTTTCATAATTTGAAAATTGAATGTAATTGGTGCCTGAGTATTATCTAACGCATAAAGTTACCTGACCAGAGCTTGCTGCGTCTGAAAGAGTCGGCGGTCATTCTCCGCTGCAGGAAGGAGGATCTTGAGCTTGTTGAATCGGTCTTGGAATCTGCGAGGAATGAGTATGCGGAAAAGGAAAATGTATATCCGCCTGAAATCATGGTAGACCACCATGTCTATCTGCCGCCTGCTCCCAGTCATTACAAGGAACATGACCTGTCCTGGTAATACTTGCAATCTTCTGTGGGTAATAAGCCACAAGTCCTCATGCTCATTGAATAATAAAGTGTAGATCTGAATGTCTAAAGCTTACTCTTGTATCTTTTATTTTAGCTCTGGTGGAGTTGTAATGGCTTCTCAAGATGGAAAAATCGTCTTTGAGAACACGTTGGATGCTAGACTAGAAGTGGTTTTCAGAAAGAAGCTGCCAGAGGTATGTACCATGTTCCTTTTTATTTGGCCTTGTCATTTCTTAAGTGATCCTGTTGAATGTCCCCTGCATGGTTGACATTTACACTCTAATGTACACAATGGGAAAAAATGCAGATAAGATTAGCATTTTAGTGTATTTGATGTGCCTGAGGTTGGTAGTAAAGCCTTTTCTTGTGTGGGGATAGTAAAACTATCTTGTTGGTTAACATATGCAACTTACAGTTTCCATATTCCAGCCCTGCAGTTATCCAACACAAATATACCTTTGATCCTTTACTGTATGCTGTTTTCTGAAAGAAAGAAAGGCTCTTTTGGGTCCATTGTCATGTTCCCCACTTGATCATGGTCGTCTGCCTTTAAATTCTGTTGAGCATATTATATGACTACGTAATTAGCGATATGTCTTCTCTCCTTGCTATCACGATCTGTTAATATTTGTGTGGCACATGTACCTTTTTCAGATCCGTCAAAGCCTTATTGGGCAGATAGCTGCATGAACAATTCTTGTAAACAGAATGCTGCACAGCTGCTGCTCGGCACCTCTTGATGATGATCTTCGAGAAATCTTTTTTGTGGTTCACCAGTAATTTACACAGGCTCGCTCTTTTGGTCAGGGGGAAGAACCCTTTGTCACTGATGACTCGAGACTTAATTATGCCACGCAAGCATAATAAGATGAACTACAGCATTGGGCGATTTCTCTTAATAAGGCATCGATTTGTGTAGTGAAGCCATTTATGTGTACACGTAATTTGTTACCTTGATGAAATTGGCCTCTTCGATTTTCATATATCTGATTTAGAACAACTGAACAAGTGTTGACCAACACATCGCACACCAGTAGGGGATGTCATGGTTGCCAGGGGTGTACCCTTACGTGCCCTCTTTCATTCAGTCAAACGAAGTAGTACATTCCTAAAAGTGATACAGTATAATTTTTAAAATTTCTTTAAAAAAAAACTTAGTTTATTCCATTGAACTAGAGAGAGTTCGAAGGTATCCTAAGGATCACCACTTTGTATCCCTAATCATGGCTAAGATGTAGCAACTCATTTGAAATTATGAATAGGATAAAGCCTTTTGGGTTCAATAATCAGGGGACAGTAGACAGAACACCTAAACTATGGAACCTCTGTTTCCACATTATAGGTAATTTGATTCGAATGTTCTCTTTTGGATAATTGAAAACCTTAGAATTTTTTCCTATACATTTTGATTCATAGGATTGAATCATTTAGGGACTCTTTGAATCAAAGAAATTTTATAAGAATTTTGAAGTATTAGAATCTTTAGAAATTTTTGGTATGTTGATCCTTTGGTTGTGTAGGATTGAATCTATAAGAATTTTCCTAAGGAATCATTTGTGCGACATTTCATAGAAAATCTAACATCTACTCAAACCTTTTGAAAAAAATCTTTATTTTTTTGTGATACAGTTAAACAAACTAAAATCGTGTAGGATTTGATTGGGCATGATATTCCTATTCCCGCACTTCTACAGTCCTGGTAATCAAAAGAACCCTAAGGATTTGTTTCCCTAAAGAACATTTGCACTATATTTCATAAGAAATTTAACAACAGTTCACACCTCTTGAAAAATATCCTTTATTTCTTTTGTGTTGTAAACAAACATAGCAGAATCCTAAAGTAATTGAATGGGCATGGCATTCTAATCCCGTGTATTTTAGAATCCAACGAATCAAACAGATCTAATGCTTGTTTCCTTCATTGTCAAAATATTTCCCCACCATTTGAGGAACATCGGACAACACACACATCGATCACCTTCTCTTCCCAACATTGGTCCCTCGCCGCAACTCCCTTCCCCGTGCACTACCATCATGCCAACCTTGTTAATAGTGGTGGTGATCCTAGTGTGAATGGCAACGAAGAGAAAGACTACGAACTCGTTGAGGGGAGAGAAGAGGGAGGGTGACAAGGATGGGAAAAAGTGAGACACAGAAGGAACATGGAACATAAAATTGTTATGTACGAACTCAATTCTAACAATAAAAAAACACTCAATGCTACTTACCGTATCCATCTATTGAGTATCGTGATTATTAGGAAAGCTAAGATAGTGCAGGATATTATTCTACCTTGCCTTATACTCCAAAATGATCATGTACTCCTATATATATGCCCATGAGGCTCAAGCAATACAACAACTATTCCACCAATCCTCTCTCTCTCTTTCAACATGGTATCAGCCTTATCTCGATCATAAACCCTAGCCGTGACGCTTCCACACCCGCGCGCCGCCCCCGGGGGTTGCGCCGCCCGTACCTAGGGTTCGTCCGCCGGCCGTGTTGGCCGGCTGCCCTAGAGAGTCTTTTTCCCGAGCCCTTGCTCTGGGTTTTTTCGCTCTCTCGCCGGTCGTTTTGATCCGCGTTTTTTTTTTGGTTTTCCGATCTAATCTTGATCGGTTTGCGTCGCCCGCCGCCGCAGTCGACCCCTGCGCGCCTCTACTCCGACACCGGCGCGACCGGCCGGCTACTTCACCGACCCGGCGGCTTCGCGCGTCGTTCGCGCGTCTACCCGCTGGTCGCCCCGACCCGGCGGCCTCGCGTCATGTGGCGGCCCTTCACCGCCGCCTTTCACGTGTCGGTCCGCCCGTCGATCTACGCCGGCCGGCACCGCCCTGCTCTGACCGGAACTCTTGCATCACCCGATCCGGCGGCCTCGCGCCATGCGGCGGCCAATCATAGCCGTCCTACCGCCTGCCATCGCCGGCTTCATCTCGGACTCCGCCGCTACCCCGTCTCCACCGAGCGGCGTCCCCGACCTCGCGCGCTATCGGATTGATCACCGGCCCGCCGCCGCGATCTGCCTCATCTACGCCGTACAACCGACCTGTCCCGTTGGTTGCGCGCGCCTCTGCAGGCCCCGTGAAGACTGTCCCGAGTTCAACGCGCCCCTCTACCGATCAAGCAACAGGCTGCCGTTGCGTCGCCCCATCAGGCCGCAGCTTCGCCGCCTGTGGTTCTTCTCCCAGCTGCACCGACCGCGTCACCGTTGTGTCGCCCCTTCGGGTCGTAGTGCCGCGGCCCGCGGTCCACCGCGGCCCCCAGGCCGTCCGCTCCAGGTCGTCCCCGTGGCTGCACCAACCCTCGCGTCGCCGCTGCGTCGCCCCGTCGGGCCGTAGCGAGCGTGGCACGCGGTCCACGCCGCGGTCCCAAGGCCGTCCACGCGGTTACACCGACCCGCGCTCCTTCGTCGCGCCGCCCTTTCGGGCTGTCGCGCCGCGGCCCGCGGTCCACTCCGCCGTCACCGCGCGTCAACCTCCCGTGGTATGCGCCGTGCCGTCTCCCTTGGCGTGGGAACACCACCGTCCGCGCCGTTCTTCATCACGTTGTCAGGGTTTTTCGCCTACTTCGAGCACCGCCGCCGCGCTCCTAACCTAGCCGCCGCCGCGCCGCTCTTCTTCGGCCGCCGCCGCTACCACTGTAGCCGCCATAGCCGTCCGTCCACCCCCTTCATCTTCGTCCAGCACCATCCCGTCGCCAGCGTCGCCGTCATCTACCCCGACCGCTTCATCTACTCCGACAACCGCGAGTGACATTGGTGAAGGAAATATGCCCTATAATAAAGTTATTATTTATTTCCTTATATCATGATAAATGTTTATTATTCATGCTAGAATTGTATTAACCGGAAACATGATACATGTGTGAATACATAGACAAACTGAGTGTCACTAGTATGCCTCTACTTGACTAGCTCGTTTATCAAAGATGGTTATGTTTCCTAGCCATGAACAAAAGAGTTGTCATTTGATTAACGGGATCACATCATTGAAAGAATGATGTGATTGACTTGACCCATTCCGTTAGCTTAGCACTTGATCGTTTAGTATGTTGCTACTGCTTTCTTCAAGACTTATACATGTTCCTGTGACTATGAGATTATGCAACTCCCGTTTACCGGAGGAACACTTTGTGTGTTATCAAACATCACAACGTAACTGGGTGATTATAAAGGTGCCCTACAGGTGTCTCCGAAGGTACTTGTTGGGTTGGCGCATTTCGAGATTAGGATTTGTCACTCCAATTGTCGGAGAGGTATCTCTGGGCCCTCTCGGTAATGCACATCACTATAAGCCTTGCAAGCAATGTGACTAATGAGTTAGTTACGAGATGATGCATTGCATAACGAGTAAAGAGACTTGCCGGTAACGAGATTGAACTAGGTATTGAGATTCTGACGATCGAATCTCGGGCAAGTAACATACCGATGACAAAGGGAACAACGCATGTTGTTATGCGGTTTGACCGATAAAGATCTTCGTAGAATATGTGGGAGCCAATATGAGCATCCAGGTTCTGCTATTGGTTATTGACTGGAAACGTGTTTCGGTCATGTCTACATTGTTCTCGAACCCGTAGGGTCCGCACGCTTAAAGTTAGATGACGGTTATATTACGAGTTTATATGTTTTGATGTACCGAAGATAGTTCGGAGTCCGGGATGTGATCACGGACATGACGAGGAGTCTTGAAATGGTCGAGACATGAAGATTGATATATTGGATGACTATATTCGGACACCAAAATAGTTTCGGGGGTTATCGGATATATACTGGAGTACTGGGGGGTTACCGGAATCCCCCGGGGGTTAATGGGCCACATGGGCCCAAAGTGGAGAAGAGGAGGGGCAGCCAGGGTAGGCCGCGCGCCCCCTCCCCCTCGAGTCTGAATTGGACAAGGAGGGGGCGGTGCCCCCCTTTCCTTCCTCCCCTCTCTCCCTTCCTTCCCCCTCTCCTACTTAGACAAGGAAAGGAGGGAGTCCTACTCGCGGTGGGAGTAGGTGTCACGCCCAATATGCGATACTATCCTAAAGAGACTCGAAGGTCCCACCAAGGATAGAACCGCATATTGAAACGCTTTGCAAGGTGAATATCATTACATCAACATTACATAATAGATGGGGATACATACATAAGGCATACAATGCCACACGAATACAACATCATCTTACATAAGAGCACCATCCGACTACGGATGAAACACAAACAGAAACTCAAACGACATCCACCCTGCTAGCCCAGGCTGCCGACCTGGAACCTATCCCCTGATCG